CCCAGGAATTGAACTTAGGTTATCAGGCTTAGCGGCCAGCACCTTTATGCCCTGAGCCATTTCACTGGTCCAGAATTTGATTTTGGGACAAGGTCTCACTATGAAGCCTTGACTGGCCTGAAATTTGATATGCAGACCAGGCTGGCCTCAAACTTAGAGATCCTAGGATTGAAAACATGCACTACTATGGCAGAAATTTTGCTATCAATATCAAAAAAAGGTATCTGCTGTTTTAAGTGATAACAAGCCCATCAATTTTTTTAAAAAGAAAAGGCATTTATTACTTTTACCTCATATAACATAATGCATTTCAACATTAGACAATATAGGTAAACAAAAGACAAGAAATAAAATACACGCAGAGGTAACCAGAGTTCATATTTGTTAAGCAACAAGCCCTTTTCCCATGTAAATGTTTAAAGAAAGGTTTTTAATTTCACACGCTTACTTTGGACTTTACAAATATCTTTCCTGGCATTTGTTACACACCTGTGAAGTTAAAAAGCTACACAGGATTCCTGTCGGAAATTGATGCCTCTCATTTTCCCATTAAGGTGTACAGAGGTGGGCTTTGTGTGCCCACATTTCAGCTAGTTCACTAGGCTTTGGTTAGAGTAGCGTGTGTAACCAGCATCACAATCCACGTTTACAACGCTTCTGTGTCTCCAGAAAGTCTCCCATGGCTATTTACGGGTAAATGTTGCCCCATGCCTGCTTTACGTTGGCCTGCTTTTATGAATGTGCCTTTCTCGACAAGTCACGTGAAGAGACGCACACGAAGGTTTGTGTTTTGCACACCTGATTGTGCTGAGCCTGTTTCCGAGGCTGATCTGGGTCGTGGCCTGGCCACTTGTTTGTTCTTGAGCCGTCTTCTCTTCTGTTAATTTGTAGTTCTCTGTTTCAAAGCTCATGCCCACTTTTCCACTGTGGTGGGGAGGATTTCGCCGGGAGAGGCACAGTCTTTCTCAGACTAAGCAGGGTTCTAGTGGCACCGGGAACAATGACACTGTCTTTAGTTTTCAAACCGAGGACCATCAGTACGTCTCTGCTTTGGCCTGGGCTCTGGGCATGTATGGCTCTGATGAGTAATAAAGATGACTTATTTGAATCAAGTTTTAGTTTCCTCTGTTCCAAGAATGACGTGAATTTCCAATTAGTTTCCTAAAACAGTTAATCCTCTGAAGCTGATCCTAACTTTAAAAGAAGCATTCTTTACTGAAGGAGGCAGAACGTAAAGAAATAAATGTGACTTACTTCAATGTCACCTTGGAAGCTGGTTTCCTGTGCCGAGAGCCTAGGAAGGTCCCCCTCGACGGACGGGACAAATCACTGTTTGTAAATTAGTACTCAGAGAAAAGAAAGGAAAAGAAAAGAAGGACTAGGTGTGGTAGCAAAGATTCCAAGTGTGGAATCCTCACACTCTGGAGACAGGCAGGAGTATGCCTCAGTGTGAGAGGCTAGGCAGGGCTACACAACCCGACTCTGTCTCAGAACAGTAAAACAAAACACATAATTTTTAAAAAGTAGCTTGTAGAACTCACTCCAAGGCACAGACTCTCCAACCTGAAAAAGGAAAATGTCCTAGCTAGATCCCAAATTAACCATTTCTAGATTGGCATCTAAGCTTGTCCTTCCAGAAATAAAAATTCAGGCTTGGTAAAAGTTCTCAGCCAGGTGATGGTGGTGCGCGCTACAGAGGTAGGCAATCTCTGGTCTACAGAGCAAGTTCCAGGACAACCAGGGCTATACAGAGAAACCCCGTCTCAGACAAAAAAAAAAAATTAGCTCTCCAGGTCGCAGAGAAACTCATGTATGGTGCCCATCACTACTCTAGTTCCTTACATTCCCTGCCTGTCCCAGATGGCCTGCGTCTTGAAGCTAACACAGCTAAATCAGGGTTCCTCATTTGTATGAGCTACTTCCTATCTGAGCCTCCACATTCTGTGTTGTTCCTTAAAGAAGCAACTCCAAACTGTGTAGGTGTCAGCTGGTGTAAAACCTGGACCTGTCCCCGTACCCAAAGGTCTTTCTTGGCCGGGTATGTTAAGATCTCCCCGTGCTCCTGGCAGGGAGGTGGAGGGAGAGGATGCAAAGTTCTAAGTCATCCTTGGCTACACAGTGAGTTCAAAGTCAGGAGGGCCGAAGAGAGCCTAAATAATAATAATGATAATAATAATAAAATATTAAAAGGCATCTATCTTATCTATACTGAAGATTCATAGAAGGCAGGTGTCTTCCATCATGGCAGTATGTATACATATTTCTACAAATCTTTGTTATGATTTATCTTAGACATTGCTTAAGGAAAAATCTGTACTATAAACAACAGAGCGACAAGGGAAGTGATTCACCTAGAAACCCATCATTACTCCAGCAGGTCACGCAACAGAGCATTTGTTCTTCTATGGGACCTTCCGGTTTTGCACAAATCATTTCAGAGCTACAGTTAACCTGGGATGTAGAAGGGTTTTACACGGAGACACAGCTCGCTTTGGGAAGCCCCGCCTATCCCACTGGGCTTCTACACTCAGCTCCTCGAATCACATACCACAGGCCTCGACCGAGACAGGGCACCGAGAGGGCAGAGGCTGGGTAATTCGGTGGCATCTATGGAGGGTGACTCAGTTGCTGGGCCAGAAGGGTGGACAAAGGATGCTCCACTGCTGGGACCACACCTTGCCTGTTCACCACAGCATGTTCAGTGCTTAGCACAAGGTCCGGTATTCGGTAAGCACTTAAGTGTTGAATGATTAGTCTGGAACCTGACTGACCCAATTCTTTTTCCTCTTTGGATGCTGGGATCAGACCCAGGATCTCATGCTTGTAGGGAAGCGTTGTACCACCAAAGTGCCCCTCCAGCACCCTTCCCCATTCTTTTGGGGGAGAAGTATTAGGAAAACCCTAGACAATAACATCTAATAATATTTCCATTTAAGTGGAATGACTAGTTGACTGAACAAGCACATCCTAAGGCCTGCTATGACTAAACATTACTGGCCTGCTTGGGATTGAGAGGCAGAGGGGGAGTGTCTGAGTGAGCCTCCTCACCCCTACTCTGGGACTAGAAGGCATAGTCTGAGATAAAGAGAGGGGCATTTTTAATTTTTACAAGTCTTATTTTAACTTTCCAGAAGAGTGGATAAATCAAGAAAAAAATGATATTTGGTGGGGGAAAAAGTAATCTAAAGAAGCCAGAAAATTAGGGTTCTTTATTAGCTTCAAAGGTTCTGGAAATGACGATTTTTCCAAAGCTTTTGGCCAGAAACTGGGCACCACTTAGCGAGAGCCATGGTTTACGGGATGTCACCTTAGGTTTCAATTAACGTGCTATGGGCTTTCCTAGAAGATCATCACCTTCAGGAAGGCGCCGTGTAGTCTGATATGAGCCACAGGCACAGTTACTTGAGAATGTAGAACCAGCTGCTTCTGCTTGTGGCCACTGCGAGGAGGCAAGAGGATTTCCTAGTCAAAGTCTCCTAAACAAAATCCCAGAGATACTTGTTTTCAAAATAATTCTGATTTAATTTCCCTTTTTCTATAAAAAGACAAATCACATATCAGAGGACACAATTTGGATTCTGAGGTTCCTATCAGAGCTGTTTTACAATACGTGTTTATACAATCTTAAGTGAGGTTGGCGGCGAATGTGAAAGCGGGGTCAGCCGAGTCAGTGTGTGCGACATCGGGGATTCATTTCACTTTGGATCACAGTCTAGTGACACACGACGGCTAGGCACCAGCTAGGCCTGGATTTGTTTTTGAACATTCAAGTTGGTATGAAGTCAAGTTAAATACAAAACCCAAATCACCGACTTCTAAAAAGCAAGATGGCAATGCCGGGTAAGGGAAACACGCAGCACCATATTCTCTGCTATTGTCACCGGTGGGCTTCGGTGAGAAATTGCCCCATGGGCTTATGGGTCTGAACACTTGGTCCTCAACTGGTTTGGGGACCCACTGTGTGGGGAAGTCCTGAAACTCAGGAACCGGAGCTCTGCTAGAGGAAGGGCGTCACTTGGGTGGGTGGGGGTGGGCTGTGAGTTTCCACTTCTTCCCACCCACTCAGTGTTTGCACTCTTGGTTTTCTACGTGCAGAGGAAAAGTGATTTGCCAGCCCTGCTCTGATACTCCCCCCGATGCTGTCCTGACCGCATGGACTACCTCTTTTTAACTATAAGCCAAACAGACTCTTGCTTCGGGCCATAGTATTTTATCACGGTAACAGAAACAAAACAGAATACTATCACATCAATGAATGTAAACATTTGACATTTTGAATATTCATATTAAAGAAATTAAACATTTGAAGATTATAGACTCTGTCTGTAGCACCCAGTGTATTACTAATTATATCTCATATTAATTATGCTTTCTGTCCAAGAGCCATAGGAGTTAAATACTTTAGTGATAATAAAGAAGAGAGAATAATGCAAAAAGAAGCAAGTAAATGTCACAAAATATGTTGTAGAGAAAACTTGCCCCAATAAAAGCAAATACATGGAGCACATCATTCTATTAGCTGGTGAGCAAAGCGAGCGTAACTTTGGGGAGTTGCCTCTGGACAGTTCCTCCCCAGAATGCCACGCTGCTTCAACAGTCCCCACCATCCCGCGTGCTGGTGAGCAATCTTGTTTCCCTAGACTAAAAGCCCCTTGAAGACACGCGTTATAAGACATGGCTTTAGCTCCTCCAAAGTCATCAACATTACTGACTGTTCAATTATTTACACAGAATAATTATGGGAATGGCAATTAAAAACACACAAACATTTTCGTGGTAAGTTTCATGTAGAAGCAGAAAACAAGCCCAGTGCCACAGTCAACAGCTGCACAGGGCTTATGAGAGACATTTAATGTAAATGGAGCATTTCCCTTTAAGACAGCAGCTTCCAGTGGGCGCATTTACTCCTTACTCCAAGCACAGTTTTGGAGTGTGCTGATGGCAATGACTGCACCATCACCCACAGGTATAAATCTTATCCCCATTTTTTCTCCTTCCTGCATAGGCCAAATACATCCATAGGATTTCTCAGGAAGACCCTTCCAAACAATTCCTTCTAAATCTTAGTGTCCTCAGCTGTGTGTTAAAGAAGCTAAATCCAAAGGCTGACCACATCAGAGCAAAAAGCCAAAGTAGTTTAATTAGACAGTTCAAAGAGAGGAGAGGAGAGAGAGCAAGTCAGATTAACTGCTTGTGAGTTCCTATCACGCCATTCTCGGCAGGAGCCAGGACACTGCACTCACGAGTCTGACTCCGCTAAGTGACAGGCCAAAGGAGTCTCTGAAAGAGACTAAGGAGACAAAGCCATCTGGCTCCTCTAACATGGCATTAGGAGGTCTAAATGATCAAATCTCTTTAAGAAAACAAAAGCATAAATCCACATTCTTTTTTGTCCAGAGAGTAGCATCCCCTGCCATATTCCTTTTATCTATGAAATAGGCAAAACACATCCAATCACCCTTGATTGCTAAAGCATAACACATCTTTGATGTGTTAAAGCATTCAGGAATGCCTTTGTGGAAAAAGCAATGATGACTGTTGCTAAAGTTCTCAAAGAGAAAAGAAACTACCACGAACATACAGAGATTAAGTCGGAACATCTCTCAAAGCACTCAGCTTTGACGCAAATGCCTCTGAACAAAGCAAGTCTGCAGTCAGACGTTCCCGAGTGTCTCAAGCATAAAGGCTCTTCCCCTGCAACACGGCTTCTGCAGCCCTTTCTGCTAGCCAGTGCTTTGGAGACTGGCTCCATGATAAATGGGACTAGGTTCAAAGTTCGGGCTATTAGCTAGATATTAAGGTTTGCTGAACTGAAATGACATAATGTCTGAGATTGTTTTTTAAATAAGTCAGAAAAGAAAAAAGCGGGAAGGAGCAGGTAAAGCAAATTCAGCTAAGTCTATAATTACTAGACCCGGGGATGGGTGGACGGAGTTTTCCATGTTATTCTATTTGTGTGTGTGCCTGACAGTTCTCATAATGAGATTTTAAAAAGTGTTAGGAATGACAGCTTCTTATAAACATAGACCTGTAACTCCAACAGGACATAAGCCATGCTGACAGAAATCAAAGCTGGGTCTTAAATCTGGAGCTCCTAACTAGATTTACAGAAACCATTTCACCTGCGTTTCCCAAAGGACGGACATGACACAGTCTGCACACTCCTGGGAAGTGGAATTATGATACATTTTTAACAATTTAGCCCCAAATTAGAGCGCTCTAAATGTCAGGAGTTTTGGGTGAAGCACAGACCGTGTTACGTGGAAGACAGACATCTGGATTCTGGTTCAGCTTTCGGGTCAGAAGGGAAATGGGAAGAGTGTTAACTCTAAGAACCTGGGTTTCTTTCTCAATCTTTTCAGACAGAAGTTTTTCTTGTGGAGACAACATTCTTCCCTTCCCACTAGAGGACGAGTAGATGGTGTCGGCCCCTGGAGGTCACACCTGAACCAGAATGACTCAGGATACCCTGGGCGGAGTCCCACCCTTTCTAGCTATTCCTTTGTTCTTCTGAAGAGCCTCATATGCTGCCCCTCTCTGCTCACGCTTTCTTCATTGGGCTTCACGACAGTCCATGCATGTCTCAAGGACACGAGGAGAGTCCCCGGGGTCTGTGAGGACAACTGCTTTTGTTCATGTGTAAGATCTGGCTTGGGAACTGCAACCTCAATCTAGGTCACTGGAACTGGATTGGAATTACGAGTCAGGCAGCAACCACCTCTGCACAAGTTTATCGACACATGTTTTCTTTTTTTTCTCCTGGTGTCTTGAGACAAGGTTTTACATAGTTAGGCTGGTTTCACACTGGCCATGAAACTGAGGGTGACACAAACCCTGGTCCTCTCGTCCCCACCATCTACGTCCTCACTGACATGCACCAGCTACTCACAGGGCTTATTTTATAGGCGTCTTCTGATGGACTGATACCATTGACTTTTTTTTGTTGTTGTTGTTCTTCAGATGAAGTATTTAGTTAGGAATTCATTCATCTAATAATGATGCCATGGAAACTTCTTTTAAAATGAGGTATTTGTTTTACTGTTCGAAACAGCAGCGGCTTGGGTAAACTGAAGAAATGGTCCAGCAAGTGAGAAAGTAGGCGAGAGGACCCTGAAACAGAAACAGGGTCTGGCAGCATGCCGTCTGGACCCAACCCCTGAGATTCCTAGCTGCAGGCAAAACACATCCACCTACCTTATACTTATCAACAAAAAACCAGTGTGATTCCTTCTATATTTCTACTTGGATGCATGGGATGGGGTCCCCGAGAAAGGCAAAGGGCCCAGCCATCCGCATTGCCCCTCCCTGCTCCAGTACAAAAATAGTTATCAGCAGACCATCGTTTCCCTTGCTTCCAGTTATCTGAGAAAACACTTAGAATTACAGCAATGACAGCATTTCCAAGTTCTTTTATGCAGAACCGTTGCCAAGGTTCAGAATACCACGAGAAATGGCGGGAAAACAGTTTTCACATGAAAAACTGAGCAAACAGGTTCGCCACGCCCAAAATGATGATGAAAATGTGAAAGACTAATTTAGGACATGTCAGACGCTCTTCTTGGCAGAGGGAAATTATGTAGATGAGAGAAGGGTATATGAACACGAAAGCCAGGCCGCATGCTGCTCCCGAGTACCTGCAAAATGAAAACTTTCCGCGTTAATGTTCTTGCTGCATTGTGGATGACCTATAATTAAGGTAAATATAGTATAATTTAAATAAATTAAATTGTACTCGGTCTCATTTTGTAACAAAAATTGTCATTGTTACTGACATTTGAATTCAAATCTAACAAGTTTTAAACTTGTTAGATTTGAATTTAATAAAAATATAATTTCCTGCTTGCTTTTGTATCTGCATGGTAAACAGTTTTTATCCATTACTTAAATCTCTGACACATCTGAAGACAGGCTTTCATCTTGATCTGTTTTGTAGACTAAGTTGACCTTGAACTTGTTATATAGATTTCTTTATGGTTTTGCTTTCTCAAGATATCCCAAGTAAAATTATAGATATAATTATACTCTATGATATATTTTGGCATACTACTAGTTTGTATGAAATTCGACACAGTCACCACAGAACAATGTCTCCACAGCACCACAGAACACGGTCTCCACAGAACACGGTCTTCACAGACACAGTTTCCACAGAACACGGTCTCAACAGAACACAGTTTCCACAGAATACTGTCTTCACAGTCACAACAGAACACAGTCTCCACAGAACACGGTCTCCACAGAACACTGTCTCCACAGAACACAGTCTCCACAGAACACGGTCTCCACAGAACACTGTCTCCACAGAACACGGTCTCCAAAGAACACAGTTTCCACAGAACACAGTCTCCACAGAACACAGTCTCCACAGAACATGGTCTCCACAGAACACTGTCTCCCATAGGCAATACAGAGCTCGTTCTTCTTTTTATTGCCTGCTACCTTCTTAGGAAAGGTTCTTCACAAGAGTGACTCAATCTGACGTCTATATTGAGGAAGACATCAGATTATTTTGAAGGCATTTCACTCTGTCGTTCATATCAAGGAAGGCCTCAGATTATTCTGAGCAAATTATTTGTGACAGTTTGAATCAACTTTATTCCTGACACCATCAATCTGCCATAACATTTTTTTTCTAGTTTTGAGCCAATCTCTTGCTTTTTGAGTAGAAATGTATTTAGAGTTAGACTCGGTATTGACCTATAAGGTCTTCCTAGGCACACCTAAGATGAAATGTATATTGATAATAACTTTTTATTTCAGATAAAAGAAACACAATGGAAACTGAGAATAGGAAGAAAAGAAAGGTAGTTGAGGGACGGTGGGGCTCCTAGAACTCCTTCTCTACAAAAGATCAGCAAAAGTGCAGTTTACCAAGCACCTGCAACCTGCAGGACGTATACGGGAGCACCACCAGTATTCAACACTCAGAGATTCATTCAGTAGAGCACCAGCAGCCACAACGGCAAGAGAGCATGCGTGCACAGCTGTACCTTATGATCCCGCCTATGTTTGGGTAGAAACAGGCCATGGTCACTCCAGCTCCCACAATAATTAAATTAAGAATCAGCACGTGGAAAATGCTAGAAGGTAAAAGAGAGTTTATATGAAAGAAAAGATATAAAATAGGTAAGTTATAATCAATTTTAGGACAATTAAAATTCATTCTTTTCACCTTTCAAATGATTGTCTTTAATTTGCCAACAAAACTGAAATATACTGCTCAATGCTGGTAATGAGACAGTGAAATTGGCCTTTTTATCCAGTTCTATAAAAAGGCCAATTTCACAGGTACAAACTAGCAGTATGTAGTAGAGTGCACATTCTATCTATAATTTTACTTGGGATATCTTGAGAAAGCAAAACCATGAAGAAATCTATTAAGGTACTCATAAAAAAATAAGAAAATTGTAGATCGAGAAAATCGCCAGTTTACCTGAAAGAATATAGTAAAAATTATTAAAAATAGCATCATTATTTATGTAGATGAACAAGAATTATGTAAATAATTTGGAAAAAAGCTAGTTGGGTTTTAACTAAACAAGAAAATCTAAAGAAAAAAGTTAGAGGGTAGGAATGTATGGGGGAGAATATTATCAAAATATGAAAAAGTAAGGGAAATTATTTATGCCAGTAGGTAGTTGTCATACATCTTGATAAGTCACAGAGATATTAGGAATCGAGATGTTATTATTCACCTAGACTTTCAACCTTCAACTTGCTGAACCTTAGTTGTTTTACTAGAAGAAAAACTTGTTTATTTTCCAAAGTAGCAGCTGGTTCTCAAAGTGTGACCGTGAACTCTGTTTCAGGAAGCCTTTGAGGTAAGCACTCTTGCCATACAGTACCGGACATGTATGCTTTACAAAAGCAACACAGAAGGGCAAAGGCACTGTCTGTGTTCTAGGATGGAGTTTTCACTGCCAACATTTTCAAGAGAAAATAGAACAAGAAAAAATTATTAACAACTTTGTTCACGAGAAGGGTGGGGATATGACTCAGCGGGGCTTTTACCCAACATGCTCCAGGCCGTGGGATTGATTTCTACCACACATGGCGTAAAAGGAGCACAGCTCCGTTTATTGGGTCTTCTCCTTGGAGTATATATCTTTTTTTACTATTCTATGTGATCAAATGGGAAACAATCAAGAAAATATGCACACTTGAATACACGGATGTCTCAAGCAAAATCAGCTATCAGCAGGGGTGGGCCAAACTCCTGATAGTCTCAGCAATGCTTCCCTTCCTCTAAATGCAGCCAAACAGCAGGCATCCCCACTTGTTGATGAACTGACATCTCCTTTAAATGAATGTTGGTGAGTTTGCCATCTAAGGAAAACAAAAGGCAATATTTGTTGCCGATAGTGACAACTGAGTTTTCAAATAAAAAGTGGGATTTGGGGGAACTTGGCAAACTGTGAGTTTGATGGCTGCATTAGCCCAGAAATTCATCTCTCACTGGGCTTATTTTATTTTGGTGAAACAAATACAGTAGAGTTAACAGAGTAACAAACAGAAACTCCGTATTTTCTGAACGCCAAAGTTCTAGGATAGAAGTGTTACAACTGTAGCTTGCTACTCATCAATGTACAAGAGGACACTGTATCAATGTAGCAAGGACACCTGGTAGCTCTTGACTTGAATTGTTTCATGAGGGGACAGGCTGCTAACAGCAGCTGTTACTCTTTTTTAGTACGGTAGCATAAATATAATGTTTTCCTATGTTATATTCATAAATTTTCTTCCTTTAAAATATTTATTCCACTCACACCTACAATCCCACCATTTGAAAGTCTGAGGTGGGATCATGAGTTCACCCAACACCTCCCCTCCCAAAGCTAATATATTCCCAATAAAATATGGCTGTGTACTTTTTGTAACATTTACTGTAAGGGTTAACCTGGGGATTGCGAGACATCTTCAGGGAATCCTGAAAACACATGATGTCCCATGGAAATTTCTCTTGGATAAGGGTAACTACCTGAACAGATCTTATTCAAAAGGATGCACAATTCCTCTAGGCCCATTAAGAGGCTAGAACTGCCATAGCAATTCAAACTTGCTATGTATGAAATAAGAACTTAAACTCATTCTACACCTCACCTTCAATTCTACACAACTTATCATTTCTATAGAAATGTACAGCTATTAATAAACATATGTGTATTGACATCAATAACTAAAAGTATTATCTCTCTTGAGCATCCCAGCAACATAGGTTCTAAGTGCTATGCACTTCTTATCAAGGTGTCCTTAGTAGCAGTTAAATCCTCACATAGATAATAATAGACATCAGAGCTAATTGACTCTCCTGGAAGGAACGGACACCAAATTGTCCCAGTCAAGGGAGTGGCATCTCTATTTAAAGCTCTTCTGGGAAAAGGACCCTGTGATCTATCCTTAGTAACCACTTTCATTAGGCAAAATTGTTTTTTATAGCAAAAGGATCAGTCAAACTTTAAACTGACCTGTTTGCACAGTCATTTGTTGCTTGGCACATCTTGCTGGTCAAGAGAAGAGCCCTTACCTAGGATAAACGTCACCGAAGATATGGCCCAAGAGCTGAACACGGGCCAAGTAGCCTAAGAGTGGGTAGACGGTCATCATCTGGAACAGCAGGAATATCCTTGCAATGAAGGACAGGATGTCACCGCTAGGGAAGTTGTCTAAGAAGTTCTAATCCAAGAAAGACAATGGAGTCATGTCAACACTCAATGCAGCACATTCAAATCCACAACATTTTCGGCTTACTGTGAACACAGGCAGTTTATGAACTGATACCTGTCTCCAAACTGCTCGCTAACTATTTGTCAGGAGGTGAGTACAGAAACCAAAATTACATATTTAGAAACTGATAAACCATTGAAACTGGCATATTCTGTTTTATAAAAATTCTGGTCTGAAAACGACAACATTTAAAACAATAAAGAAAACCTTGCTCTTCACAACAGACAGACCAAGAAACACAGCTCTAAACAGTTCATATGCATAAGTAAATTTGCTCCTGATTTATTTAAGCAGCAATTTAATTTCAGTGGCTTTGTATCTTTACTATAGTTCTGCTTGTCCTCACTGACACCAGCACTTCAAAGAGTGTGCATGGTGCGAGCGCATTGTCACCTGGTGCCACCAGGGCTTGCAGGCTAGCGCTAAGTAGAAAGGATTTACTTTTACACGTTGGCTCGTTTTCTACATTTCAGTTTGGTATCTGAAAAAGTTAATAACTCAGAATCACATTTTCCCTTCCAACTATGAATACCACAAACATTCCTATTCTCAGGGGAGTTGGCTTTATGTGGGATTATTCATATCAGGAAAATTTCAGCCAACACTTGGCTGCCAGAGAAATTCCCCAAACAGCACAATGACGAGGAGAACATTCTCGGCTGCCACACAGCAGAGAGCACTACCAGCACTGCTAAAATACACCTTGTAACTGGTTTCAAACATGATCACTGGACTCCTAGCGGGGTTTCCTCTGGCGAGGAAATCATCTGTGAAATGCTGTTCTTCATGAGAAACTCTTTAGTGCTCAAGATGTTACTATTTGTAAATCTCACTACAACTCTTAGAGAGGGATTTCTCTCTTACTGTTCCCCAGCTCTCATGTTTTAATAGCTAAATAGTCTGCTTTGTTTTGCTCCTTTTCACTCAGTCTCTAAACTAGAGTTCTATAGGTGAATCAAAACTGGTTCATCCAGGACGTTTCCACAAGTAAGCTGTGGAAAATCAGGGACTTCAGTGGATTCTAGGCGGAGGCTTTAGAAACCCATGTGAACACTGGTGTACACAAAGAGAAGTGCGTGTACGTGAGAGAGGTCATCTGAGCACTACAAGTTGCGGGGTATGCAAAGCTTACTCCAGAAGTTATCAAATGGAGCCTGCATGTGTTGTGACTGCGTGCAAGAGAAATTAGAAACGTGGACAGGATGGGGAAGGTAGAGGTGGCATTCAAGTCCAGGCCTGACTGATCTTGCTCCTATATTGTTTTCCCTGCGACACACACAGAGTCACACAGGTATACACAGTGCCTTACCTGCTCAATACAATCTTTGGATAATGGAGGTGAAGGAAATGAGGCAAAAACCAGGAAACCAATATAGAGATAAGTCAATGTCACCAGCATATAAGCAATGCACAGGTCTCTCACCTATAAATAAACACAGAATAAAATGCTCACTCAGCATGAAGACATTTACAGTAAGTCTACTTAAGCACACTAAGTAAGGAGTCTGACAAATAAATACAAATTTATCTTCTTATTTTGTATATGTCTGTATACTTCCTACCTAATTTTCACAGAATGCAATATATATATATATATATATATAATTTTATACACACACACAATTACTCTATTAGTTTTTCTTTTTAACTTGTCTGGAGTATGTAGACCAAGCTACTTGTTAGAAGACTTTGGCAGCTAATATAAACTGTGGTTCTAATTTAATTTCAAAAGGTAATGCTTGCCAAATTAAAAAAAAACTTAATTATAATAAAAAAGACAACAAGAAAGTCTAAGCCACTTTTGGTTTGACCTATGAAATTTTAAAAATTCTTTTTTAGTAAATTAGCTTATATCATCAAAGTATATGTAGGCCATGGGAGTAGAGCATATTAAAATATGTTTATTAAAGAAGGAACACCAGTTGAAGAGTAGACAAGTATGCTTTAAAGACAAGCTTTAAAAACTTAAACAGTAAACAAAAGGATATTTAAAAAGCAGCTGTTCAAATAGCTGTCCAAAGCAGTCGGCAAACAAACAACATTATTAAATAAAGCAGCCTACTTTCTTCCTCTGCTGTTCCCACCCTCCCCAGTCTTGCAAAATAAAAAGCTCTAAGAGACTGAGAGCAGCCAGCTGTTAGATCCAAACACAGCAGATTCCACAGCTGGCAAATGGTCTCCATTACCACTTAAGTTACAGCCAAACAATTCAACACAGCTAAATTGTAGCCACAGGCCTATTCATTTGAGATAGAAATGACGGGAAAGCTAGGAAAACAGATTAGAAACAAATTATATGCAGTTTTTAAGTTTGATAACATAGTAAGAGTGGTCAGACACTTGGAATTAGGGACCGTTTTGGATTTTTCTGGATGACTCCTAAAATGGGCTGAAGCAACAGCAGCACTTTATAAACTTGAGATTCATAATCTGGCTGAAGAGTAAACAAGAGCCCATGAGAGACCTTAAGGTCAGGTCTAAACTGACATTCAGTTAGAAAACAAACCCGGGATGCAGGATCAGACATGAGACAGTGGGGAGGCCTCTGAGCTAGAGGTTTATGCAAATCAGTACCAGCTCTTTCAGAACTCCCTGAGAGTTTAGGAAAGGGGCTTCGAAATCTTTTCTCCTCGTTCATGAAGCTCCAGGACTCAGTTCCGGCTAGCATTCTGTTTCCCCTGGGGTTGTGTCTCACTCTTGCGTGGGATGCGCAAAAACAAATCAAGAAAGGTCTATTTTCATATCAAAAAGCAGTTGGCCTCAATTACAACATTTCAAAGGCATTCCAGTCTCCGCCTATTTGAGCTGGCTCAAGAATTAAGACAACCTTATTCAAAAAGTGATTTATTATCTTTATGTGTGTGTGTGTGTGTTTGTGGGTGCATGTGAGTGCTGGCGCCCAAGGATACCCCTGAAGCTGGAGTTACAGGTGGTTGTGGGCTACCTAACATGGGTGGTGGGAATAGAATCCCAGTCTTCTGAGAAAGCAGTACCCGCTCTTAATTGGTAACCATTTGGCCAGCCCAAAATAGCCCCCTTAAGGAAAGAAAATCTTGGGGGGCCGGGGAAATGAGGCCTGGAGTTCACCTCTCCACAAGCCCATGGCAGTAACAAGTGGCCTGTAATTCCAGCCTTGGAAGGGAGAGATGGGATCCCTGGAGCAACGTGACTGGCAGGACTAGTCAGATCCGTGGGCTCTGGGTTTGACTGAGAGAGAGTCTGCCTCAGTGAGGCAGTAAGAACAATTGAAGATGATTTCCAACTTCAACCTTGAGCTCCACATGCCCATACATATGCATAACACACACACACACACAGAGAGAGAGAGAGAGAGAGAGAGAGAGAGAGAGAGAGAGAGAGACAGAAGACAGAGAAAGCGAGAAGGGAAGGATTTCACTGACAGTCTGTAACTCACGTACCATCTGACTGTATTACTTTAGTCCAGATTTCTGTAAAACACGCACCTAGGTGAAATTTCAGGAGACGATTCCAAGGCTATGGTGCCAGGGTCTCCCAGCAAAGCAGCTCCCTCCCTGCTTCCTCCTTCTCAGAGCATTAGCCAAATGCAGTAATGCGAATGTTCTAATCGCCATTAACTTTTATTATAAAAACGATCCACTTAAAAAAGATTTATTACTATTATTAATTTTTTAAATTATGTGTGTGTATGTGTGTGTGTGTGTGTGTGTGTGTGCATGTGCACAGGAGCCCAGGTGTCCACAGAGGTAAGAAGAGGGTGTTGGATTCCTTGGAGCTAGACTTACAAGTAGTTGTGAGCTGCAAAATGTGGGTGCAGGGAACTAAATTTCGGCTCTCTGCAAGAATAGTTCACACACTTAAAGGTTGAGTCATTGTTCAACCTTTAAGTTCCCAAAATAATCAATTTTTTGAAAAAAGTTCTTGAGTGGAAAGATGTCCCTTGACATCAAAAAAAAATAGCCAAGTTTAATACTTTATCATAATTTTTTCTCTAGATAGATTTATACCACTGGGCTATGAGGTGCTGGAGACAATGATTGTGTCTTTTTTGTCTTACATTCCCAATGGACAACACTGGAAATAGCAGAAACCTGTAAGATAAAATGTAGGCATGACCTGGCAGCCAGTCTACCTGGTACACCGTGTTTCTAAACAAGAAGCACGGCACACCATGCCCCAGCAGCTGGAACACTGAACTCTGAAGTAGCGTTAGTAACTGGTAGCTGGCCGTGGACAAGCCTGCACTCTCCATGTCTCTCCCCATAGAGACCCTGGTGTTCTGCGCGCTCACCATCCAATCCAAGGTAACGTGCTAAGCAATCACAGTCCATTGGCTTCCACTGTGTAAGTAGTCGCTCACATGCAATAAAGCACACGCTGTTCCCTGAAACAGCCTCGAGTGGTTCTTCTCCACGCCCTTTACCCACCTGGGCATTGTGCTCTTGTCAGGCAACACCCTGGTAGTGATGGCAGGGACTCAATACAGATAAACTATCCACATCTGTTAACTACTTCTAGATGCCGGCATCTGTGCTAAGCACGGCCTGCCATTTCATCTGGGCCTCATAAACCCTATAAGGTAGCTGCAGTTCGTTTCCTCACAGACGAGTGTAAGTCACAAAACTTACATGGTGAGGGGTTTGGTGAAGTCAATATCCAGCCTCCAAACAAGGTCTTTCTGGTGCCAAACTGTGTGCACTTAGCTACAATGATGAAAGGTTTACTAGGTTCCAGGTATTTAAACCATATTTAACAATGAAAAAGAGAGGCAAAAAGGAGTAACAAAGACTTGAACATGAAAGCATAACTAGAGATCCAAGAAAACAAACGCCTGTGAGGATAGCTTTGTTATGAGTACTCAACACTCATTCATTTTAGCCCAGACAGGAGCTGGGTATCTGTTTTCATATGGAAGCACTGAGAGAGAGGATTCTCTACAGCAGTCTGAGTCTGTGGGTCAAATCTACACCACCCATTTGTTTATCTATTGTCTGTAGCTGCTTTCATGCCACAGCAGCAGGACTGGGAAGCTGTAACAAGAACGTATAGCCTGTAAAGTCTAAAAGAGTTACCATGTAAAAGTTTCATATGCTGACCACTCATCTATAATTTAATCTTAAAAATTAAGATGCAGAAACAAATCGTAAATAAAATAAAAGTGCATCAAACATTGGTTAGAGTTTATCCTTAGGAAATATCAAGGCCAGTTTCTCAGTTAACTACTCACATTATTTTCTTGGTTCTTGTTGTTTTTCAAGAGTGTGATAATACAATTGTGGATAAAGAAAGCAAGAGTAAGCACTCCGGTCAGCTGTGGAAACTCAAATCTTATCTCTGGGAGAAAAAGAAACAAAAACAACAAGCAGAAAATGAGTATTAGCACCCACTAATCATCAGTTTTCTCTTATATCATCACTACCATCTTCATCATCATTGCCCCAGGGAATAAGAAAATTCAAAGCATTTATAAAGTCCCTCAAGGTGAGCATTACTAAGTCAAAGCACTTGGAAGAGAAAGAAACGGAATTAAGGGATGTACATTCTGTGACTTCCTCTCAGTTATCTCTAGCTGAGGTCCCACATCTAGATTTAAATTCAGGGTCTGTCTAGGACTAAAATCTTCCAGTCTCCTAATACCTGAGCTTATCGGGAAAGTTCCTCTGGAAAAGGAATCACAGGGGAGAAATAGCTACTTAAGAGTCTTGGTGACAAATCTACAATCCTGGTTAACTGAGATACAGCTTGCAGTGGGATACAGTATTTAAAAAGTGTGCTGTGTTGGACTCAAGCAGCATGCCAAGTGTAATTTGCTCTTGTTTTTTAAAGTACACATAAACAACTGTACAGTATGTGCTCAAGAAAAGATGTTGATAAAAATGGCTATCTCTGGTTGACAAGATTTATTTTAAATATAACCATTTAATTGTCTATAATAAATACAGTTATTTAAAAAATAGTATTCTATCTAGAACCACCGTTTGGAGGCAGGTAATAAGTAAATGAAACAATTAGCTAATGTGGAATCAGGCTACAGTTTACTTAGCAATATTGGTAGGTCTAGGCAAAGCAAGAGGCTAAGCAGAGAGCCCTCTCAGGGACAGCCTGGGGTAAAGAGCGGAACCGCAGCAAAGGTCTCCCGGCTCTCCGCTGCGCTGGTTCAGGAAAGGAAGTGTGGCCACTAAGAATCAACCACCAGCTCTAAAGACAATCAGAAGGTAAGGCCAATAAAAGTATATGGTTTTGCTTTCTGTCTGTTTGCTTTTTCTCACTGTCTCAGCCTCCTGAGTTCAGTACTCAGGTTACAAGCATGAATCATGATGCCTGGCTTATTCTGTTTGCTATACTTCCTGCCTGTCAACTTTCGTCTATAATTTTTTTTTTAATCTCTAAATGCAATTCATAATATAGGTAAATTCTTCCTGTTAGTTTTTGAAAATTTTTTTTTTAGTAATAACGAAATTACACCCAATAAACTGAGATCACCACTAGTTAACAACAGCATTACACATCACAATGACAAAAGCACTATTTTTGAAAATGATGACAAAATCATGTGCAGATGGATTTACTTGCTGATATTTTTAACAGAGAAATAACTGACAAACTCTTTAGCTGGGATCCAAAGTAAAGCAGCTAAGTAGGAAAAAGAAATCACCAATCATAGTGGTTCATGCCTGTAATCTTAGCACTTGGGAGGCTGAGTCTGGGGCCAGGCTGGGCTATTCCAGATTAGCCTGGGCCAAAGGGAGATCCTGTCTCAAAAGGCTGCCCTGCCCCCATCAACATCTTTGTATATAATAACGGGTTAAAAGCTGTAAGAAAACAAATGAAATGATCCTACCCATATTAGCAAAACCGACATTAGTTTGGCCTAAGATTACTTTCATTTTTACGTATATTAAAGTACTCTGACATATACCGTGGAAGGACAACATGCAGTCTCCCTTTAAGCGAGAACCTAAGCAAGGTTGTTAGCTGATAGCTTCTGGCTGCAGCCGTCTGATGTCTGCTGCCCTGATCCTACACCAGTCATATTCCCACTGGACAGCTACTAGCCAACCCTGAGCTTGCGGTGCATTAGCGTTTGGGCACATTTGTGTAACCTAGACCATTCTAGAGGCAATATTTGCATTGAGGGTCATAGTGGCTGGCCAGGACTTTCTGAATTTATTTCTGTTGAATCCATTTCTTTCTCTTCTTTTCCTTTCTACATATCCCAACCAAGCTTAGTCCTGCTCCTAATCCTTTAATTTTGCAGACGTGCTGCCCTTCTACATGTCCTCTCTTCAGACCCCATTCTGGTACCTGCTTACTGTGGAACTGAAACCCATCCAGCTGGAAGTGGATGAGAAAATGGGATTTGAGGGATTTGACTGGCATTGAAAGGATTTGAGCCCTGGATCACTCAGTATCAAGTTTTCAGTTATCTGTGCTGTTTATGTTAGATCCTAAGGTTCTTTTTTTTGTTTTGAGTTGGGATCTCATGTAGCCCAGGCTAGCCTCCAACACTGCTATATACTTGAGAATGACCTTGAACTTCATGATCCTCCTGTATCTACCTCTCTGCAGTTAGAGGCATGTGCCACCATACTCAGTTTTATGCAGTGTTGAGGACCAAATCCAAGGCCTCTTGCAAGCAAGCCTTGGATGAATAGCGGAACCCCAGCCTGAAAGGTTCTGACAGTGTTCCCCTGTTGACCGAGAGTGACTGGAAGGAGGGAAGCACTCCTGACCTCATCCTTTTGTGGGTAGCATTTCATCATGGCAGCCTCCCTACAAATTCTATTCCCAAGCAGAGCACTGTAGGACTATTCTTCCTTCTGAGGACATAAAAGCCTATCTTGCAAGTGTGGGAGGAGGAGGGGAGAGTCATAACTGGCCTTTAGAGTTATATTTAGCTTAAAAGAGAAGGCTTTTCAGTCCAGTTCTTGTTTTTTAGTACTTCCTACCATTTTTTTTCAACAAGTATTCTTTCAATCGAGCCATTCAAATTCTCATAATTTCCTAAGTGAGTCATGTTACTTCAGGCCTTAACTGTGCATGGCATACCTCTGAGAATTCTCCAACTTCTCACTTAGCGATCTCCTTTCGGCCCTTAATAGACTCCTCTGAGATCACTTCTCTGCCTCCTCTTGGATGTGCAATCCCTCTGTACTCTAGTGCCCCCGGGGCACCTCTTTACTTATGATTGTTACTGCACCAATTGTCTTACTGCTCAACTGGATCTCTTGAAGCGCAGTGGGTCATGTTATATACAACATTGTGTGGCATGTAGCAGGAACACTATTGCCAGAACTGAAGGATTCTCAGCCACCAATACGAACAAAATTCTATTTAAAACTGCTTTTAGAGTTGAGATTATTAATTTTCTCTTTGATTGACCTTTTTCATCTCACAGCAATCAACCTGTCTATGACAGCTGATGAACTTGGTCCTTTTCATTAAGGCTTTCGCAATAATTGATTGACACAAATATTTTTTGAGCAATTCTTTAAGAACTGAGATTTTTCAGTGTTGTTAAAATATAACTCATATATGTTTTACTCATGTGAAGCATAAACTTAATTTTTTTAGCATATTCAGATTTGTGTGATTGTAACCACAGTACTTTGTTCCTTTCTAGTGTTGGATAATATTCCACCATATTGATTCATCATACTTTATATACTCACCAGGGACAGACATTGGGTTGCTTCCACTCTTAGCAATTATGAGTAATGAAGTTATAAACACTCCCCCTCTCTTTTTCATATTATGGGGAAATATGTTTAACATGCCTTTTCACAGGATATAACATTTGTGGCATGATTATTCTATTATATTTAAAGAAGACAAGCAACTCACAAAGGGTTGGAAGTTAATTGAGGAAAATACCTGATGTAATCACTGTCCTTTGTGTGGTGTATATGTGCGTGTGTGCGTGCGTGTGTGTGCACCCCCCCCAGAGTAAATTAGAATCTAAAGTCTCTTTGAAGTCAGTTTCAAAGAATTATGAGGACTTTTTTTTTTTTTTGAGACAGGTGTCTGTGGTGGTTTGAAAGAAAATGGCCCCAAAGGGAGAGGCACTATTAGGATGTGTGGCCTTGTTGGAGTTGGTATGGCCTTGTTGGAGGAAGTGTGTCACTGTGGGGTGGGCTTTGAGGTCTCCTATATTAAGCTATGCCACCTGACGTGATGCCATGGTTATGGTGTCTTTTTACAACATAGAAACCCTAACTACGGCAGTCTCACTATGTAGCCCAGGCTGACCTCTAACTTGTGACAATTTCTCTGACTCAGCCTCCTGAGTGCTCCTACAGGTATGAGTCAGTACACCTGGCTCAGAAATGTCATCTTCATTGCAGTTTTCAGTGTACTAATTGTTAAAAGCCTGGCATGGCGGCATACACCTATGGTCTTAGCACTGTGGAGGCAAACACAGGAAAAGCAAGAACTGAAGGCTAGCCTTGGTTACACAGTACACTAGGACAGCCTAGGCTACATGAAATCCTGTCTACACCCTCACAACCCAACCAAACAAAAACTCTTAAAAGTTGAAAAATATTGGGGGTGTGGTTCAGTCACTAATGTGCATGCCAAGGATGAAGACAGAACTGGATTTGGTCATCAGCACTGAATAAACCAGCTGTGGTGGTTGGTGCATGCTTATATTCAACATAGGGATCAGAAGTGCCAAATAGAGTTTTCAGTTTGGATTTGAAAAATCAAGTTTTTAATTTGATGATTGTGATTGAATTCATAGCAAGCCATGGACTGTACTGTGATTAATTTCCTTTTATATAAAAACTTTTCATTGATTCGTTTTTCTGGAAAAAATAATTTTTTCTTTTTAGTTCCTTAGTTATCTAGTTAATACTACTTCCTCCTCAAACTTTTTTCAGGAATTGTAAACTCTTCCTGCTCAGTCTGTACAACACACCGAAAAAGTTTTGGAGTTTGAAAAATTCCACCTAGGAAACACAGCCTGTTACTACAAGTCCCACCCCGCTCCCAAGCCCTCCTATCCCCCTGCAACCTAAGTGGAACTCTGAAACACAGTCTGGCACCTACACAGTAAGGACCAAGAGGTGAGTAACCAGCCACCCAGTGGGATATTCCACTCTCTAGGTCCTCAATACTAAGGCAAAACCCTGAGCCCCTCCCTCACTCACTTGCCTCAGCTTCTCTAGCCAGCCAGCATGTGAGTTTCCTGCTGGGAGCTGCTTCAGAATCCCTGAGACACAGACAGGGACAGTACAGATCACACCAAGAACAGTTTCCAAGATACAGACAGACACTGTAAGGATTGGACCATGACACAAAGCACAGCGGGTGTCAACTAAAGGAAGAGATGG